GGGGCCTGAGTGTCTCGTCTGAGAGAAGTTGCCATCCGCGCCTTGGGCCTTCCTCAAGCACTATAAGGCGAGGGGTCAGCCGGGGCGGTTGATTCAGAGTTGGTTGGACACCTGATAGTTTGCCAGCCGGGCTCAAGCTGTAGCCGTCTGTTGAACAGAGAAGGTCTGGTGGTTCTCCCTACTATCCTCCCACTTGAGAGTTCACTTCTGGTTGGGAGACAGGATTCTTAGCACCTTTGGTGTCAAAAGGCTGTCTTGGGGTTGTGCCAATGAATCACCAAACATGGAGCCTGTGGGCTTTAAGTGGGAGTGTTGCCCCCATGAGCCTTATCTCAGCCAATTACCTTTCTTGACAATAGGAGCGGTGTCCCTCTCATTCCTCCCCAGCCCCCCTCCAATTTCTTCGTTCCCCTGTTTCATCCCACTGCTTTCCCGTCTTTCTGGGTGGTAGAGGGGAGTGACTGCCTGCTCAAGGACACTCCCTGTCGGGCATCGTCTATGCCTGCGGAACAACCCCTGAGCCTGTGAGCACGCCCGGGGGGAAGTGGACAGGAGCCATTGGCCATAACCAGACAGAATACGGAGTTTTTATTAAAGCTCCACGGAGAGTTTTAAAGAAATATATGTAGCATGATTTTTTTAGAGGAGGAGAAAGATTATTTAAATAGGATCTGAATCATGCAACAACCAGAGTATCACAACCAGGATGACCCCTGGGTCCCAATCCCAGGACATGGTAACTTTATTTTCCCCTTGTTAAGACATAAGAAGACTTCATTTTTAAATGGTCGGTGTCCAGTTGACGGCAGAACACTAATCAGATTTCAAGGCCCAAAACTTGGGGACTAGACCACCTTGTATCGAGGGACCTCTGCCACCTGCGCAAAATCCATAGGTTAAGTAAATTAAATGACACTACTGCCCTGATTACTCCTTAGGATGTGGTCAAAACAGCATCAAATGTTTCTTCTCTTCCTTTCCCCAAGATGGTGTCCTGAACCTGTTAAATTAAGTCATTGGATTTTACTCTGTTCTGTTTACAGTTTACTATTTAAGGTTTTATAAATGTAAATATATTTTGTATATTTTTCTATGAGAAGCACTTCATAGGGAGAAGCACTTACGACGAGGCTATTTTTTAAACCGCGGTATTATCCTAATTTAAAAGAAGATCGGTTTTTAATAATTTTTTATTTTCATAGGATGAAGTTAGAGAAAAATATTCAGCTGTACACACAAAGTCTGGTTTTTCCTGCCCAACTTCCCCCTGGAAGGTGTACTTTTGTTGTTTAATGTGTAGCTTGTTTGTGCCCTGTTGACATAAACGTGTCCTGGGTTTGCTCTTTGACAATAAATGGACAAGGAAGGTCACCCTACTCCGCTGGGCCACTCCCCTCCTTCCCATGTTGAAGCTCCTCAGAAGGCTGTGGTCGTATCCTGGCACAGCAGTGTCCCCTCTCCGTCCCTGCCCTCTTTCCCTCCCTTCTGGGACTAGCTCGGAGCGGCGAGAGCTGTATACTCCATTTCCCTCATCTTGCCCTACTTCCGAGATAGCAACCAAGTTGAATGGCACCCTGACATTTTCCTCACCATCTGCCTCATCGGTCACCTCGTCCCCTTGCCCTCTGCCCACCAAGTCCTCATATCTGCAAAGAACCCACGGATCCCCCCGTGCCCTCTCGTGGGGCAGCCCGTTGAAACTGAAGCACAGTCTGACCACTCATGATAACGCAGATTCTTCTCTGCCTCTGTCGGCCACTGGGTTTCAGAGCAGTGCAGTCCAGTAGAGGGCAGGGCGCCCTTTTCTCCCACAAGAAGCCCATTCCTATGGAAGTCTAGCAAAGCAATACGACTCAGCCCTGCGCTCTCTGCCCCAGGACTCATGGCTCTGCTGTGCCTTCCACCCTGGGCTTCCTGTTCTTCCGTGACCTTAAGAACTGTGTCTGGTGGCTTTGCTGGAACATTGTCACTGTTTTTGCTGTCATGCAGGGAGCCCAGCACTGTGGCCAGGATGGCAGAGACTTCCTTGTCATCATGGAGAAGTGCCAGCAGGGGACTGGGGAAAAACACTCTACCCAGACCTCGACTCCCTTCCTCCTTTGCCCGTGAACAAGATACAGTGGCCCTAGGGGTTCCACTAGTGTCTGGTTTCCTTTATTATTGCACTGTGTGAGGTTTTTTTGTAAATCCTTCTGTTCCTTTTTTTTTTTTTTTTTTTTTTTTTTTAAGAAAAAAACCTTAAGCTGCATTTGTTACTGAAATGATTAATGCACTGATGGGTCATGAATTCACCTTGAGAAAGACCCAAAGGCCAGTCGGGGTGGGGGAAACTCAGCTAAATAGACCTAGTTACTGCCCTGCTAGGCCATGCTGTACTGTGAGCCCCCTCCTCATTCTCTTTCTACCAATCCCGAACCCTGAGGCCAGGGGAGGGACCCACATCTCTCCCTCTCTTTCCAGCTGCAGGTGGTTTGCCTTGCCTTTTCACTCCCTGTCAACCATAGAAATGAGTAATTCCTCTTCTAGCTCAGCCTTGAGTCCATTGCCAAAATTCAGCATACCTGCCAGCAACTTGGGAAATAAGCTAAGGTTTCCCTACCAGAGGGAAAGAAGGCAAAAAAACAAAAACAAACCGGCATATCTGTCTCCAAAACACCTGAGTTTGTTTTGAAAGTGACCAAGGGAATCTCCGCACATAAGTGCAGACCGAGGAACTGTGGTGGGTCATTCCCAGGAATCCCCCAAGGGGCATCCCGAATCCCTAAGGAGTCCCAGCTGCAAGCCTGGTCAGTTCTCCGTGAGCGAGCCAGCTCCGGAGAGCTTTGCTGCTAGAACCTGTTGTGGCCGCATTTCCTGGTGGCCAGTGACAACTGTGTAGCCAGAACAGCTGCATGGCGCTGACCCTACGGCCGGAACTTGGTCCCTTGGCTCCCTCTGTTACCGTCCACCACCTCCAGCACAGCCCCTCCGGTTTTTAGACCAATCACCAGAATTAAGGGGGAAGCCCTGGCAGCTATACTCTAGAAGTTTTCAACCAGATTCCTTTGCCGGGATACAGTCCGCCACCCCGCTCGCCTCTGTCAGCCACCCCGGCCAATGCAGTGAGCACCATGCAGCTCCCTTGATTTAAAATATACAACAACAACATTAAGGAAAAAAAAAAAAACAAACAAAAAAACAAAAAAAAGCCAAAAAAAAATAAAACAAAAAAAAAATCTTTTAATGAATGTATCTTTCTAAAGGACTGACATTCAATCAAATATCTGAAAATAACTAAAGGTCAAAACCTTATCAGATGTTAACTCTTAAGTTTGATTTGGGTTTTTTTTTTTTTTTTTTTAACTAGAAATCAAGTTTGGGTGTTTCTTTGTTGTTTTTTTCTTTTTAAAGGAAAAGCGGGTCATTGCAAAGGGCTGGGTGTAATTTTATGTTTCATTTCCTTCATTTTAAAGCAATACAAGGTTATTGAGCAGATGGTTTTGTGCCGAATCATGAATACCAGTCAAGTCTCACACTCTGAAAACTTGCAACTTTTTTGTTTTGGTTTTCAAATAAATATAAATATGATATATATAGGAACTAATATAGTAATGCACCATGTAACAAAGCCTAGTTCAGTCCATGGCTTTTAATTCTCTTAACACTATAGATAAGGATTGTGTTACAGTTGCTAGTTGTGGCAGGAAAACATCAGTCTGGCGCTCCTCGGATCCTCCGAAGTTGTGGGGGGACCCAAACCGCAAGGGACGGTAACACGGTCTGTTCCCAGGGTCAGAGAGGAACGCGTAAGTGGTGTCACCCGGATTTTTTCTGCCCATGAATGTTGCCAGTCAGTACCTGTACTCCTTGTTTCTCTATTTTTGGTTATGAATGTTGGGGTTACCACCTGCATTTAGGGGAAAATTGTGTTCTGTGCTTTCCTGGTATCTTGTTCTGAGGTACTCTAGTTCTGTCTTTCAACCAAGAAAATAGACTTGTGGTGTTTCTTTTATTGAACTTTTAACAGTCTCTTTAGTAAATACAGGTAGTTGAATAATTGTTTCAAAAGCTCAACAGAGGACAAGCTTCTTTTCTAGAAATAAGACATTTCTTGACAACTTTATCATGTATAACAGATCTTTTGGTTTTTTTCCTTGTGTTCTTCCAAGCTTCTGGTTAGAGAAAAAGAGAAAAAAAAAAAAAGGAAAAAATGTGTCTAAAGTCCATCAGTGTTAACTCCCTGTGACAGGGATGAAGGAAAATACTTTAATAGTTCAAAAAATAATAATGCTGAAAGCTCTCTACGAAAGACTGAATGTAAAAGTAAAAAGTGTACATAGTTGTAAAAAAAAAAAAGGAGTTTTTAAACATGTTTATTTTCTATGCACTTTTTTTTATTTAAGTGATAGTTTAATTAATAAACATGTCAAGTTTATTGCTGCACACCATCAAGCTTTCTTTTGGCTTTGGGTAGGGTGGAGAAAGGGGTAGGGCAGGGGGAGCAGCCGCCAGTGGTCTGTGGCCTGATCGCCCAGCACTAGCCAACGCCTTCTCTTTGAAGGTGGAATCATTAAACCACTCTGCCTCGCCTCCCCGGCCCACCCCACAATGACTCTCCCAACCAGGTCTTCTTCCCCTGCTTATCACTAGTTTGTGTTCAAGACCTAATTAATCCTGAATATGAGGAAGGGGTCAGGAGGACAAGCAGCTTCACCTCCCACATATTCCCCCTTTTATTATCCTGTGGGCCATCAAGAGGCCTCTGACTGATTTCATCTAGGAATATGTTAAAGGGAGAACCTGAACACCACCCTCTCTGCTTCACTCCACCTTGAGGCAGAAATTGGATTCATTTACTCTGTTCCATCTAACACTGGGGTGGGGGCGGGAAGACAGTTGAGGACTATTCTTGAATATTCTGCCAAGCCAGGGTTGCTAACCCTGAGCCAAATGAGGTTGGGTTTGCACTACAGCCAAGGAATAGAAGACACTCCTCACAGGGGATGGACCTCAAACAGAACCTCTGCCCTCCAGATAACTGGCCACCAGGCTCAGCCCCAACCCCTTCTTCCTCCCTCCTCTAGCCTGATTCACCTTCTGGGATTTGGGAGTTGAGCACCATGGGGACTCCAAATGACCAGGCAGTGTTGCAGGCCATCTTCAACCCTGACACCCCATTTGGAGACCTTACTGGGTTGGACGTGGGAGAGGAGGTGGAGGAGGAAATAGATGACGGTGAGTTAGACCTTGGACTACAGCACTCTACACTGGCTGGCCTCGGGGGGGTGGCAGAGGATGGTGGTCCCACAAGGCCCCCTTGTTCCATGACCCCTGGACGGTGATTGAGGCTGGAGTGCGAGAGGTCTGCTGACCCGTAGTGCACTGGTGGAGGCTTGGCAAGAGTTACTCTGCCAAAAGAAGCAAGTCGCGGTTTGTCTGTCCTTCAGCCCTCCTATCTCTGAACTTAACCTCGCCATTTAACTCCCCCCGTAATCCAAGCTCAGCTGTGCTGGGGGAGAGGGTGGAGGGATGCTCAACTCCCATCTTTGTCTTAACAGGGCATTTCACTCCACACAGAATGGAAGGGCAGGGGTGTTTCGGTTGAATGGTTCTGACCTAAGAATGAAGAGCCTAAGCAAGCCCAGCCCGGACCTAATCCCTCCACAGAGTGAATCCACTCCCCGGCCCTTCCTTCAGTCTCTCATGGGGCCTTATATCCCCACCAGGAATTTTTGAGGTTTTTTGTTTTTGTTTTAAGTAGGCTCTATGCCCAACATGGGGCTTGAACTCATGACCCTGAGATCAAGAGTTACATGCTCTGCCGACTGAGCCAGCCAGGCAGGCACCCTCCCCCCACCCCCATCAGGAGTTTTTAATGACCCTTGTTTCTAAAGGAGAGAAGCCTAGGTCTTAAGGAAACTTCAGTCTGAAAAGCTGAGGGATATGTCGGACATGATTTTCCTGACCCAAGTATGTCTTGGTGGTCTTCCTGTTGGAGGCAGTATAGTAGAACAAAAAGGGGCCAGGTTAAGGAGCCAGGGAGACCCGGGTTCAAATCCAAGCTGTGCGTTTAGGAGCTGTGTGATCTTGAGTAAGTCATTTAACCATGGGCTGAGTTTGGGCTTCATTCTCTTGGCAAGGAGCCGACCAAAGTCCCTTTCCCAAGTTCCTTTGGAACTTAGTGCTACCTCTCAGCCTTGGTGACCTCAGCTCCCTCTGCCTATGACACTGCGTCCGACTCCTGCTGGGACTCACATCCCAGCCCTGTTGGCTCCAGCTTGGGCCTCAGCTTTCTAAAGCCCAGAGGGTTTTGGCTTCTTGCTCTCCACCGCCTACCTGTCCCTCCTGCCTCCCTCCCCCACGCAGATGGAGTTTTCCCAAGAGCACAGTTGGAGCAGTCCAAGGCCCTGGAGCTGCAGGGGGTGATGGCTGCGGAGGCTGGCGACCTCAGCACAGCCCTGGAGAGGTTTGGCCAAGCCATCAGCCTGCTGCCAGAGAGGGCCTCTGCCTACAACAACCGGGCCCAGGCCCGCCGCCTCCAAGGAGATGTGGCAGGTGAGAGGAGATGGTCCAGGGCTTCTGCAGGGGGGCCCTGCAGTCCACAGACCAGAGCAGAAGTCCTTGTGGGGCTGGGGAATCCCTAAACTGTTCTAGAACCTATATTCTTACTTATAAAAAGAGACACCTTATGGGCCCTGCTAATCTCTTGGGGCAATTGTGAAAGAAGAGATTGAGTTCCATTTGTCTATTTAACAAACATTTAATGAGAGTTTACTATTGTAAGCAGTGGACAAGGCACTTGAGAACAAGAATACAAGACAGACTGCTTAGACCAAGCACTACGTGCAAGGCATCCAGCACTTTCCACATGAGCTATAGTAACTCAGTTGATTCTCACTACCACCCCAAAAGGTGTGTGCTGTTGTAACCTACATTTTACAGACAAAGAAACTGGAGCAGAGCTCTGGGATTTGAACTCCAGAGGGCTGGGCTCGATTCTGTGCTCTGACTGCCCTGTGATACCACTTCTCAGGAAGCTCACAATCCGGGGCCGTGGGACAGACACATAACTCTGATTATGTGTCTAATAAGTTGAGAGGGTTCAGCATGGTATCTACTCCTGAGGGGTGAGTTTTATTTTATTTTTAATTTTTTAAAGATTTTATTTATTTATTTGACAGAGAGAGACACAGCGAGGGAGGGAACACAAGCAGGGGGAGTGGGAGAGGGAGAAGCAGGCCTCCCACCCAGCAGGGAGCCTGTTGTCGGACTCAATCCCAGGACTCTGAGATCGTGACCTGAGCCGAAGGCAGATGCTTAATGACTGACTTAGCCACCCAGGCGCCTCATATTTTTCATTTTTTAAAAAAGATTTTATTTATTTATTTGACAGACAGAGATCATAAGTAGGCAGAGAGCCAGGCAGAGAGAGAGGGGGAAGCAGACTCCCCGCTGAGCAGAGAGCCCGATGTGAGGCTCGATCCCAGGACCCCGAGATCATGACCTGAGCCGAGGGCAGAGGCTTTAACCCACAGAGCCACCCAGGCGCCCCATATTTTTCATTTTTAAAAAAGATTTTATTTTATTTGAGTGAGAGAGAGCACAGGGAGGGGCAGAGGGAGACGGAGCAGACTTCTTGCAGAGCAGGGAGCCTGTTGGGGGGCTTGACCCCAGGATCAGGACCTGAGCCAAAGGCAGAGACTTAACTGACTGAGACACGCAGGTACCCCAAGGGGTGAGTTTGAAAGAGTGAGTAGGAGGTAGCTGGATGGAGGGGACAGAGTGGGAGAGGGCATAGCCTGTAGAGAGACCAAGAGTCATGGAGTCAGACCAGTGAAAAGGTACAGGGAACTTCAGATCTCCAGGCTGGCTGGAACGGGGAGGGTGAAGGGTAGCGTAGAGCCTGCAGAAGTGAATAGGGGCCTGATGGTGAAGAACCTGGAAAGTTAGGCAGAGGTTGCACCGTGCCTTGAAAACATGGGAAATCATTAAAGGATTCGAACTGGGGAGCAACTGGATCAAACTTGCTCCTCTTGGGTTACTCTGGAATGGGGACAATGAGATACGGCCATGCTGGCGACAATACTGTGAAGGAATGCCAGCCTAGGGGCAGTGGACTCCACTCCGGGAACAGCGGGGAATCAAGGACCCCCCTTTCCAAGCTTTGTTCCCTGGCTGTGAGGGCAGGGTGAGGCTAGGCTCTAAGAGCAGCCAAGGACAGTCTGCAGACAAAACCCCAGACAGGAACAGAGGTGATTGATACTTCCTGCAAAGAGTTTTCGATTCCTCCAGACCAGCTCCTCAGAGGGACCCCCAGGAACACTGCCATCAGAGAGCTTCTTAACCATCTGGGTGGCCTGGGGAGCACAGCCCCTGCTGGGTTCTGGGCTCAAAATACACAGAGGCAGGACAGAGATGGGTGTCTCTGTAGGATGATGCTGGAGTTCCTCCAGAGCCCTGACAGCAATTCCAACAGGAGAGCATGAGTGAACTCAGGCAGAGCCCAAAATTGCTGCTGGGCTCTAAGCTACACACACACCAGCTGGCTGCCTGAGATCGAGTTCAGAGTTCTAATGCCAAATCCAAGTATTTTATGAGAATGATAAACATAAAAATGTCCATGTCTAGGGCCAACTCTGGCTCCTTTAATGAAATACCGAATACTAAATTTGGATACAATATAATGAAGATCGTGGAGATGATGAATGAGGAAAGGCAGTCGGAAGGAGAACAGGTTTAAAGCATACAATGAATGAAAGGAGAGAAACGCCTTCAAAAGGAAAAGAAAGAGAAATGAATTTTATTGTATTCGTGAGAAATGATTATCAGCACATTATCATTTTTTAAGACTCTGAGATTCAGAGTCAGCCACCTGGCACAGGGTAGATGCTCAATAGCGTACGAGTGGAATACACTGCCTGCTACTGCGGGACCATGGGCCAGATTCATGAACCAGTGACCACTCAGAACCGTCCCAGCACCCGTCGTGTTTTGGTGTATTGGGTGGTGAAAAGTAGTAGGGACTTTAGTCCCAGCTCTGCCACTATAGACAGACTGTGCAGCCCAGGGCAAGTCTTGCCACCTTCTGCAGTCTGCATCGGTGCGATGGGAGCAAGGATACTGAGGAGCAAGAGCCGGCGGGCTGGAGGTGGCCGAGCCCCGGGGCCGCCGTTCTGACTCTCCCGCCCGTCTGTCCCGCAGGCGCCCTGGAGGACCTGGAGCGCGCCGTGACGCTGAGCGGCGGCCGGGGCCGCGCCGCACGCCAGGGCTTCGTGCAGCGCGGGCTCCTGGCGCGGCTGCAGGGCCGGGACGACGACGCCCGCAAGGACTTCGAGCGGGCGGCGCGGCTGGGCAGCTCGTTCGCGCGGCGCCAGCTGGTGCTGCTCAACCCCTACGCCGCGCTGTGCAACCGCATGCTGGCCGACGTGATGAGGCAGCTGCGCGGGCCCTGCAACGGCCGCTGAGCCGCACCAATAAAGCTACTTGCTCTCCCCGACTCTCGCTGGTGTCTGCGTCCAGCCGCCGGTCCCCCAGCCGCAGCGCACTCCTTGGTCAGCCGTGGTCCAGACAAGGGGCGGGGGCGGGGGCGGGGCGGTGCCTGTGGGGGCGGGGCTGGCCAGCCGGGCTCGGGCGTTGATTGGCTCCGCCTGGCACCGCCCCGTCCCGCCGCGAACCGCAGCGCCCCGCAGACCTGAGCAGTCGCTCGTGCTGAGCGCGGGGCGGGCTTAAGGTGAGGCGCGCTGGGGGCGGGCCTGCCGCACGCTTCCCCCCCCCACCCGCCCCCCCGCCAGGACCCCCGCTGCTCCGGCCCGCTTCCGCCTGGTCCCGGGAGGGTGGGAAGCGGGCGTGGGGCTGCTGGATGGCAGGGGGAAGGAGCAAGGGAGGGACTGGCCGGGAAGACGGTCCCTTGGCGGGGGCGCGTCGCCCCGCGAGTCTGCGTGTGTGCGTGCGAGTGTCGGGCCCGGTGCGGGCTGCGCGGCGGCGCGCAGTCTCTGCGCCAGCGGGCCGGAGCCTGTTTGCCCCCGGGAGACGGCGCCCGGTTCTGCGCCCGTCGGTGTGTGCTGGCTGGGCTCCGGCCTTTGCCTGGGCGTCCTTGGCTTCGCCACTGCGGGTCAGTCTCCATCTGTGTGTCGGTGCACGGTTTATTTTTGTTTTTGGAGAGAAAATTCCTAGAGGAATGCCCGAGCCTGCCTGCGGTCACCAGGCCCACCCCCTTGTCTCGGCAGCCTGGGGCCTAGGCCTGAGGGACCATGGCACTACCCCCGGGCCCAGCTGCCCTCCCGCACACGCTGCTGCTCCTGCCAGCCCTTCTGAGCTCAGGTACACCCCCGTTCACCCCTTGGCGAAGCCATTCTGGGGGCAAGCCACTCTCTCTCCCCTCACCTTGGGTTTGGATACCTACTTCAGGCCGCAGAGCACCAGAGCTGGGTTCCCCTCACCCACCCACCCACGGCCCAGCCAGTTCCTCGTGAGCGAACCTAGGTGCTCCGGCTCTTGGGCAGCCACCCCTCCGTAACAGGATGTCATGCTGGTCACAGACCAGTTCCACCCCTCCCCCAGCTCTCCCCAGAACCCCCTGCTGTGTTCCAGGTTGGGGGGAATTGGCACCGGAAATTGATGGTCAGACCCGGGCCGAGCTGGCACTTCGGGAGAACGAGCGGCACGCCTTCACCTGCCGGGTGGCAGGGGGGCCTGGAATCCCCCGATTGGCCTGGTACCTGGATGGACAGCTGCAGGAGGCCAGCACCTCGAGACTGCTGAGCGTGGGCGGGGAGGCCTTCTCCGGAGGCACCAGCACCTTCACCGTTACTGCCCAGAGGGCCCAGCATGAGCTTAATTGCTCCTTGCAGGACCCCGGCAGTGGCCGGTCAGCCAATGCCTCCGTCATCCTCAATGTGCAATGTGAGTGCCCCTGAGGTGGGCAGGGACAGAGGTTCCCTGCCTGAAGACCCCCAGCAGCCACCAGGCAGGTGGTCTGATAGACCCCTTAATAAGCACTTTGCAAGTATTAACTCACATTATCCTCAGGATATTCCTGTGAGGTAGTTATTATGGTTAACCCCATTTTACAAGGGAGAAAACTGAGCCACAGATTGGTTAAGTATTATGTCTGCAGTCCTACAGCTAGTAAGCAGAGCCAGGATTCAAATCCAGATATTTCGGTTTTAGTGATTTTACTGTTAATCACTGTGAAATGCTGCCTCTGAGGGAGACCCAGCCATCCTGTTTCCCAGTGCCCCCTTGAGAAGAGATCCAAGCTCCTGGCTCCCTTCTGGGTTTGGGAAGAAAGGGCAAGGAGTCTGAGGGCTGTGGTGAAAGTATATTGGCTTCTCCTTTGCACCAGTTAAACCAGAGATTGCCCAGGTCGGGGCCAAGTACCAGGAAGCTCAGGGTCCAGGCCTCCTGGTTGTCCTTTTTGCTCTGGTGCGTGCCAACCCACCTGCCAATGTGACCTGGATCGACCAGGATGGGCCGGTGACTGTCAACGCCTCCGACTTCCTGGTGCTGGACGCCCAGAACTACCCTTGGCTCACCAACCACACTGTGCAGCTGCAGCTCCGAAGCCTGGCCCACAACCTCTCTGTGGTGGCCACCAATGATGTGGGTGTCACCAGCGCCTCGCTTCCGGCCCCGGGTGAGCATTGCCAGCAACTGGCCCAACACAGCCTCGGGTGGGGCATGATCACAGTACAGAAATGAGAAGACTGTTGCCCTCTGGTGAGTCTTGTGAACGGGCTGTGCTGACCACCTCGGGCAAGGACAGAATGGTACCTGTGGCATCTCTGAGGTGGGGGCCCCTTCCCACTTGGAACCTAACCAGAGAACACCTTGCAGGGCTTCTGGCCACCCGAGTGGAAGTGCCACTGCTAGGCATCGTTGTGGCTGGAGGGCTTGCGCTGGGCACCCTGGTGGGGTTCAGCACCTTGGTGGCCTGCCTGGTCTGCAGGAAAGAGAAGAAGACCAAAGGTAGGGCCAAAGCAGTGGGGTGGGGGGCGAGGGTGGCTGAGGAGCAGGGAGAAGGAGAGGGAGAAGCAGCAAGGGCAGCACGTGGGGCTTGGCAAGTCAGGTCATCTCTGACGAGTGGCAGAACGGGTCTTCCTGGGCATGTCCCCGGGGAAAACCTGATGCAACTCAGAGCAGGCCTGGGCACTGGGGACCCAGTCTGTCCCAGATCTAGGAGAGATCCCTTGCCTGAGGGTCCTGGGTGTGAAAGGGCATGGGGCAGAGCCCCGAGTGGGTGGGCTCCCTAAGAAAGTGTGTGGTTTCTTTCTCCCTAGGCCCCTCCCGGCGCCCATCCCTGATCTCTAGGTAACTTCCTGGGGCTGGCTGGCTGGGCGGGACTGAGATACAGCATGGGGACAGCTGGAAACCGCGGGTCTCCCTAGTTCTGGAAGGGACCCCAAAGCAGGAATCTGGGCCTGCTGGAGCCAGGGCACATCCCAGGCTCTGTCTGCCCTGTAGTGACTCCAACAACCTGAAACTCAACAACGTGCGGCTGCCACGGGAGAACATGTCGCTCCCGTCCAACCTTCAGCTCAATGACCTCACTCCGGATCTCAGAGGTACACCCTCTGTCTGCCCCAACTTTACCTTCAGAGGTGCTTCTGAGGCAAAGAGAGAACCTCGTACTTGAGGGGTTAGGCCCTATCAGGCACACTCCTCATCCTGGGCACCCACCCTGTGTCACCCATCAGGGAAGCCAGTGGAACGGCAGATGGCTCCGAATAACAGCCGGCCGGAGCTGCTGGACCCGGAGCCTGGCGGCCTCCTCACCAGCCGAGGTACTGGGACATGGGCGCGCCCCCACCCCCAGCCCTGATGCTTCTGCCGGAGGCCTCTTGAGTCTCCATGGGCAGCTTCCAGGCGGTGAGTCTCACTGCGTCTCATGGGCATCTTTGCACCTGCAGGTTTCATCCGGCTCCCCATGCTGGGCTATATCTATCGAGTGTCCAGTGTGAGCAGTGATGAGATCTGGCTCTGAGTGGGGCAAGATGGGGGGTAACTTCTTGGCTCCTGGGCACCCCCCCAACGGCCACCTCTGCCTGGCCCTATTGCCACTGGGAAGAGGTCATGCCCCTGCTGCTTTGGCTTGCCCTCCTGGCTGAAGCACCCTCTGTGTCATCCACATGACGTTTGTCACTGGGATCTGACCCTCAGGGGCACAGGTGTCTTGGCAGAGCCTCCATCTGGACCTCAGCCCCTTGTTCTACCTCAGGTAGGGGGGCCTTCAGGCGCGTGCACCCCGGCAGCTGGAGCTCTTTGTGCAGGTGTGTGTGCGGTGGTCTGGCCTCTTAGTGTGGTCTGGCCCTGCTGGCCTGGGCCTGCTTGGGCCACACACCAGTAGTCGTAGCACTTTGTACAGCAGGCATGGGGCATTCCCGGTGTGGGGGCAGGGAGGGCCCTGCATGTCTTCAGTTTCCTCTCCATGCTGTGCAGCTTTGTTCTCTCAGGGAAAATTTAGGACCCTGATAGCTTTATCGAACCAAACTGCCCTTTGCATGGGAACCAACCCCTGGCCCGGGGGCAGGGGCCAAGCACAAATTTTGCTGCATACCTCTCTGCCCTTTTCTTGTCTTCGTCTCCTCTGGGGCACTGTACATTATACTTTGGACCTTCTGCATTTCTCCACTGGGCGCTGGACTTCTCCATCGACCTAAGCCTGGCAGTGCCAGGGCCCGGTGTTAGCACAAGTCAGGAGGAAAAGAGGGAGGCACGAAGTCCAGTGGCACCCCCAGCAGCACGTAGCTATGCATCTTTTTCTTACGGTGTTGGTTGGCACTTTAAGCACATCCCCTAGGTAGGGGGTTAGGGAGCACTCCAGGGCCTTCTCTGTGGTTTCCCCAAGTCTGGCCTTCCTCTGATTCACTGTGAGTGCCCTGAGCCCTCAACCTATCTTCACAAACCCCCACCATGGGACCCCATTGACCAGCCCCTAACTGCCTCATCAGCAGGAAGCCCCGTTCTTCCTGTCCCACCGTTGGTTCTTCAGGGGCTGGTGATAGTGGCCCATTATTTGACATAGCTAGAAGCTTTTAGGGCAACATGGAAAAAGAGGGGGGAACCACATACCCCAAAACAATGTAAGAACTCTTTGGAAAGCAACTTGGAAATAGCAAATTATTATAGTGCAGAGTATATTTTTCCCTTGTTGATAACTTGTTTTATAGTTTTTTTCATGTTACTGCCTAGGACAGTGCTGAGCACACAATAAATTTAATAAACTTGGCTGAGTGAATGTTATATGTCTGTTTCATTTCTTCATAGATGGTTCTAAAACAAAATCTTTGTATCCTACAGAAAGTAGGGGAAACACCTGTGTACCCACTACTCAATTCTGTTGAATCGTCTCGTTTTACTTTGTTTGCTCCAGAACTTTTATTTTTAAAAAAGAATAATGCTGTTTCTTTAATTACACTGTTCTCGGTGGCAGGGCTGGCGTTTTCGTTTTCGGGAGTGCCAGAGCAGGATTAGAGGTACAGAAGGCTCAGACTAGGC